AAAAAATGTTGAATTAATGTAAAAAATTGCAAAAATCTGGTCTGAAATGAGTTATTTTGTTTTGTTTCCTTCAATCTGGCTTATTTTGAGTTGGGTTTATTTTGTTAAATAAATTCCAGAAATCGCAAAATTGATTAATTTCTTTTATGAAAACTTCGATTATTTTACACGATTTTATTCTATCAGGAGAAAAAACCTCAAGAACAGGTTCTGAATTTTTTTTTTTGGGCTTGGAATCGAGTTTATTAAAAATTTTGAACAAATTATATAAAAAATTGTTGTAACGTGTTGTTTATGACTCAAGAGCCCCAATAAAAGAATTTTGAAAAGAAAAAAAAGTTTTGTGGTTTCCACCAATAAGATAAAAAATCACCAACTGACCATTATTTCTAGTAAGATAAAATATAAATAAATATAATACGAAATATTATTTTATGTACTTTTTCCATTTTTTACTAACAATAAAAAATAAACTTGAAAAATAAATTTCACGCCATCTGTCGTCTTAAAATCAAACTAAAACCTGTTCCTCTTCACCCTTAATGACACTCAACCAAACCAAAATTAAAACAATTTAATTTTTGAAATAATAGAACACTCACGTAGCCATATTTGGATACATTTGGGTTGAGGAGCTTCCTCTGGTACTTGAACCCCCAGTCAATGCACACGGGTTGTACCCGATCCGAGAGAAAAAAAATTTTTTTGGTGACAATGATCGCAATATCGCCGAAAAAATTCTGTATGTGTCCTTTGTACTTCCTCGTTTTGAACATTTCATGAACCTGGAGACGAAATCAGAATTGTTTTGCAAAATTTTCGACTTACTTCTGAAAATTGCGCTTTGTTTTTGTCCTCAACGTGGTCAAATTTCCGGTAATATTTCCCCACTGCCACCATGTAGCTTTCCTTACTTATTAATTTGCCATCGTCGTCTGTTATGCAATGAGCTGCTGTTAGAACCACTCTTTGGTTCAGTAAAGAGCCCCCACAAAGTAGCACTTTGGAGGTCTTGTTGTAAAGTGCCACTTGCCAGGGGTATTCTCCACGGATTGCGTGGGTACCGTTTACGATAAGTGTTGGGTTGTTTTTCGTCGATTTTTGACCACACTCTTCAAGTTTTTTTCGAAAAAAATTGTTTTTTAAAATGGTACTTACTAAGGCTCGGATTATATGCAAAATGTATATTTGTTATTAAGAGCTATATCAACAAAATTGTAAGTTTTCTATGCATATCTAATGTTTTTTGATTAAAATAAGTCAAATAAAAAATGCATATTTTGCATATTTTGGCAACTTGGTGCATATTTTCTTCAAATCACTAATTTCCGATTAAAAATTTCAGTTCAAGTTAAAAATTGAACAGTTTATGAAAAAAATCCGATAACAAAATCGTTTCCTTTTTAAATTGTATTGAACTAAGCGTTTTTTTTTAATAATTTGTTTCCAAAAAATAATAATTAATATAAATTAAAGTAATATAAAAAATGATCTTATTTTAAGAANTATTAAGTTCAGAATTTTGATTATAAAGAAATAACTTGATAGAAATTGGCAAAATTCACAGTTTATTAAAAAATTCTGGCATTTAAAACTAGTCCTACAATCTTGATTTTTGAAAGCTGTAGATAAAGAACCTTAAAAGTCAAGTCAAGCTAAAAACGTTTTTCCTTTTCAGTTTTGGCGTAAAATCAACGGTAAACATTTTTTTTCTCTTGTAAACTTAATCCGGGAACATACTGTATACTTGCAAAATACATTTCTTAAATAAATTTATGTATCTGTAATTTGATAATTTGAGCAAGCTTGTTTATTATAATCACAATTTAATGTATACGTTATATACAGAGTGGTTATAAATGATTTTCATCTAGCCAGCTTTGGAATTTTTTTGTATGTAATTTTATTTGTGCCGCTCTAATTTTTTGAAAGCTCTAGTTCTGTCATTAGTGTCACTTGTTAATTAATAATAAATTGTTGTTAATTAAACTTTTATGGTAACTAACTAATTTCCAATAATAATTGATAATAATGTGTACTTTGGAAGAAAACAAGTTTATAATTGAAGTCTAATTTCGAAGTGGACGCTTAGTAAAGGGGGATTTTTTAATTTTGAGTTAAAACAAGTAGGTACCCCTATTTTCGTAAAGCGGCATTTTTTATTTTACATGGAAAATTCACAGCTGGCTAGATGAAAATCATTTATAATCACTCTGTATAATCTATGCTCATTGAAGTAATTTTCACAAAAAGACATTTTTCGGGTCCGGACCAACTTCCTAAAGGGTTTTTTTGACATATTACCTGCTCTCCAACTAGTTAGTCTGAAACACTATTGCAACAAAGCGCAGCCCGAGTACAAAGTTAGACTGGTGAATAATTTTTTCCCCGGGTGTACCAAGTTTTGCTCACGTAAGCATTTGCCTATTTCGGAGGACCAGTGCCCCTCATCGCACAAAATAATCGAATTGCCGTCCAGCTTGTACTTGTTTTGACAAGTCACTTGTAGAAGTGTCCCCACGCTGACTGACATTCCGGGGGAGAGACTGGAGGGGGCGAGTAGTGACCATTTGCCAAAATCGGGGTGTTTGGGGAGGACACAACCGGACCTGAAACCAGATTTTGAAATTTTGAAACAATTTTTATTTATTTTTTTTACTTCTGAGGTGGAAGTTCCGGTTTTGGTGGTGGACAATTTTCATGATCACAATCAGCGATATTCGAACTTGGATTGTATTTAGCTATAGTTTCCAAAATGAACGATTTGTATTCCGTGACGTTGATGAAGAGTCCGTATTGGTCGGTTTTACACCTGTAATTGGTGGAATCAGCTTCGGCACTACTCACAATTCCTGTAATATAATATCTTCCGTCGTGTTTCACGACTAGGGGGCCTCCAGCGTCCCCATTGCATGCACTAGCATCTAAATAATCACTTTTTTATTCAAGTAAAAGTGTTAAAAATGTTTGAAATTACTATTAGTGGGGTCCCCGGCACATATCTTATCGAAAGTTAGTTGCGGTAAAAATCCTTCGGATAAAAATTGTCTACAATCGTTATTAGACACAATCAAGACCTCGAGTTCTTGTAAATTTTGAGCAGGAGTCGAGCCTTGAGAGGTGTAGCCCCAACCTGTGATCTAAAAAAAAATTACCCTATTTTGCGTTTTTAAGCAAAAAAATGAATTTAGGGAATTTTGTGTCAGTTGGTAGCAGTGTTCTTCAAGGAGGTGTGGCTGTTAACGCACCCAAACAAGTTATTTAATAGCGTTGACAAAAACAATAGAAAAACAGTATATTATTTGCTCTTTTAGTTTTATGAAAATTTCTGTTTGACTTTTTAATTTCATTTCACAATGGAGATTTTTGTGTTGGTACTTTTGAATGTCACTTTTGTGACTTAAAAACGTGAAAAATCAGAATAAAGTTTTTGTTTTATTTTGAGGAGATAGTGCCAACATGACCAAAAGTTCCCAAAAACAGTATCTTAATCTCTTTTTTAAGACACTATTTTTGGTGTTTTATTACAGTCATAAACACAAAGTAGAAAAATAGTATATTATTTGATAAGCGCTTTGAACGGCTTATAAAACTGTGTAATACAGTATTTTTTCTACTTTTCTCTTTTAGTTTTATGAAAATTTCTGTTTGAACTTAATTTAATTTCACAATAGGGGATTTTTTGTGTTAGTACTTCTGAATATAGTAAAATTATAGAGTAATAATAACATAACAGGCAATAATTTTGTGTTTTATTTTGGGGAATTTTGCGAGGTACTACCAACATGACAAAAAAGTTCCCAAAAACAGTATGTTAATAGACTTTGTTAAAGCACTATTTCTGGTATTTTAATAGTCGTGACGTAAAGTAGAAAAAAGTGTGTTTGTGGTTCGGACTTACATAATCCTTGAAATAATATGGTCGAAAATTGTGTAATTTTTGTTTTTCATTTCTCAAAAATGCAATTATTTTACGAAATTTTGTCAAAAATAAGCCAAAAATCACTAAATATGGTTGAAAATGGCGTTGTTTTGCCTTTTTCTAGCCTTTTTGTATTTTTTTTAATTGCACGTTTTTTTAGTCAAAAACACTTATTTTACGTAATTTTATCAAAAATACGCAAAAAATCACTAAATATGGTCGAAAATTATGTTTTTTTACTCCTTTACCGTTTTAATACCTTTTTGAGCCAAAAATTCTTTTTTTTCCATTGCATGTTTTTCAGAAACCCAATTATTTACCGAAAAATACCTAATTGTAGTGTTATTATTGTCTTTTTAAACGCTTGAACTAAAACTTCGAGAACTAACTAAAAACTCGAGAAATTTTGCAATACGCACCGAAAAATCATTAAATTTTACTTTTGCAATGAGTTGTTCCACCGTTTTGAGTCAGAAACGCAATTATTTCCCGAAATTTCTTCAAAAATATGTCGAAAATCATGCCTTTTTGAGCGTTTTAGCACGTATTTGAGCTAAAATCTCTTTATTTTCGCTAAATTTTGATAAACCGGGTCGAGAAATCGCCAATTTGTGTCGAAAATGATATTATTTTTGCTTTTTGCGAGAATTTTAGTCCGTTGTGCAGTCAGAACTACAATTATTTCGCGAAATTTTGTCAAAAATAAGCTCAAAAATCTTGGTCGAAAGGTTTTTTTTTTCAGCGTCTTAGTACGTTTTTTCAAATTTAGCTAACTCATGCACAATTTTAAAAATTTGTAAAACTTAAGAAACAATACTGCTTAAATTTTGAAAAAAAAAATCAAAAATTGTTTTCGATTTTTTTTAAATTTGTAATTTGTAAACATTTTGAAGCTTTAAGTTTCTAGTTTTGAGATCTGGCAAAATTGTTTCTGTGCTACGGTATACCTTTTTATACAAATGTAAAAAAAAATTAAAAACTAATTACTAATTCATTTTTGAAAAAGAGATCAAAAACATTTGTTTCATTTTTTTTTTCAAATTTAGAACAACTCATGCAAAATTGTAAGAAAAGCTAAAAAAAATTGTTTTTCCCATTTTGACGAATTTTTTTCGATTTTTTTTTCAAATTTAGTTATTATATAGTAATTTAGCTCATGCAAGATTCTAAAAAAAAAGTAAAAAACCGTTTTTCTCATTTTGACGAATTTTTTTCGAATTTTTTTTTTCAAATTAAGCTAACAACTAAAAAAAATTCCCTACGTCTTAAAACTCTTAAACTAAAACTTACAAAAAACTCATTTTTGCAATAAGTTATTTCACCGTTTTCAGTCAGAAACGCAATTATTTAAAACTATGTCGAAAATCATGCTTTTTTGAGCGTTTTAGCACGTATTTGAGCTAAAATCTCTTTTTTTTCGCTAAATTTTAATAAACTGGATAAATCAGTCGTCAAACGAGAATTTTTGTCCATTGTGCAGTCAAAACTACAATTATTTCTCGAAATTTTGTCAAAAATAAGCTCAAAAATCTTGGTCGAAAATTGTGTTTTTTTTTTCGAGCGTTTTAGTACGTTTTTGAGCATATTTTTCTTTTATTGCACGTTTTTCAATCAGAAACCCAATTAGTTACCGAAAAATTAACAAATTGTGGAGTTTTCTTGGTCTTTTTTGAACGCTTAGACTAAAAACTTGCGAAATTTTGTAAGAGCGGACCTCTTAACCTTTTTTTTACAATTTTGCGTTAGTTATTTCTTAAAAATAAAAAAAATTGTTGATTTTTTTTTGAAAAATTTGTTGAAACATTGAACAATACTGCTTAATTTTTGAAAAAAAGTCAAAAAAATGTTTTTGATTTTTTTTAATTTGTAGTTTGTAAACATTTTGAAGCTTTGGGTTTCTAGTTTTGAGATCTACTGGCAAATGTTTTTTTACCTTTTTATACAATTTTGCATGTTACTTGTTAAAAATAAAAAAAATAAACAAAAATTTATTTTGTTTTTTTTTTGTAAATTCATTAAACATTCAAGAAACAATTACTGCTTCATTAAAAAAAATCAAAAAAATGTTTCTGATTTTTTTAAATTTGTAATACAATTTAAAAAACAATACTTACTAATCAATTTTTGAAAAAAAGATAAAAAATATTTACGCTTAGACTAAAAACTCGCGAAATTTTGTAAGACCGGACCGAAAAGTTCTTAAATTGTAATTTTGCATCGAGAAATTACATTGTTTGCATTCAGAAACGCAATTATTTCGGGAAATTTCGTCAAAAATTATTCAAAAATCATTAATTTTGGTGGCAAATGGTGTTACTTTTGCTTTTTTTCTATGTTTTGCATCAGTTTTTTTGAATATTTTAGTAAGGTACGCAATTACTTCACCCAATTTTGTCAAAATGGAAAAAAGTGTGTTTGTGATTCGGACTTACATAACCCTTGGAATTTTTTTTGAAATCAATCGAATTTGCCCAATCTAGACACACAGGTTGGACGGCTTGTGACATAGTGAAGTTTTTTTTGCTAACTAAAATTGCAATATCTGCCATTAAATTAGTGTAAATTCCGTTGAATTGCTTCGGGACGATTATATCCTGCAACTGTGGAAAAAATAAGCTAATCCGGATTTGAATTCTCAATTTACCCCCGAATACTGGGCATAGACCTCAGAAATGTCTTCGAATCGGACTGAATTCTTCCCAACACCAACTATAAAGTCCTCAAAGTGTCCCTCGCGGTTTTGAGAACGCACACAATGTGCGGCTGAAACTCAAAAATTTTTTTTTGATTTTTTTTCCAAACACAAATTTACCGGTTAAAATAATATTTTCCCCAATCAAAGCTCCCCCACAGATAAATCTCTTATCTCGATAAATAGCCACTTGCCAGGGATGTTCACCGGAAATGGCCCCTCTCCCGTTCACAATCAACAGCTGAGCCTTGACATTTTTTTTCCCACAAACTACAAAATTTCATTAAATATCACGAAAAAATTCCTGAAATCAATACTTGGGACACATTCAGGTTTGGATAAATCCCATGAGCCGTTCTTGCACACCCGCACTGGATTTTTCGTCGTTTCGGTGCTCTCGTAAAAGGGGGCACAGGTGTATTTAGCGACGGTACCATCGGGGGGGCTATCACAATCAGTCGCGTTGTTTTTGTAAGTGCAAGTGATTATGGTTGAGGGGGTGCTTCGCACCGGGGGGCAGATTCCTGAAAAATATTTTTGTTTTGCAAAAAACTACACTACTCCAAAATTTTTTGGTGATTTTTGAATGGTTGTATATCATCGAAAAATGGTCTTATCTAGATTTAAAAAAAACATTTTGAAGCTTTAAGTTTCTAGTTTTTCTGTGCTACGGCACAGAAAACCTTTTTTGTACCTTTTTTTACATTTTTGCATTAGTTATTTGATAAAAATAAAAAAAAACACAATATATTTTTNCAAGTAAAATCCGCCTACGTTGCAAAATTTGCAATAAAATTCAAAAATTTAAATTGTTTTTCCGAGTGCATTATGTAAAGTAAAATGTAATAAATAGTGGTTTACCGTATTTTTCATGCCAATTATTGTTTCGAGGTGTTCCATTTGAAAAACTAAATTTGGTAGCATTTCCGGCTACACCGGATGTGCCAAAAAAATTTGATGCATTTACTAAGAAAACGAGGAATGAATAGTATCATTTGAAAAATTAGTTTTTGAAAAAAAGAAGTAAGTTTAGGTGTTATCGGCCGGGGCGACTTGGACCGAACACCCTGTATAATCCGAGCCTTAGTACTTACTAGGGACACATTCGGGGTTATTGTGACTCCACCTGCCATTAAAACACAAATGAATCGGATGCAAATCTAGTCCTAAATCCTCGTAAAAATCTGCACACTCGAAACTAGCAGTGGTACCATCAATAGCCTCAGTGCAATTCTCACTTTTCTGGTTGTTATAAGTGCAAGTCACTTTCATAATCGCTGTGCTGTAGATGGGGGGACAAGTTTCTGTTTCAATTAGCGAAATTCTTGTGAAAAACACTCACTTAGACAAACCCCAATTTCGGTGGTCCATTTCTCGTTGATGCAAACAATGGCAGCGTCCCCGTCGAGCTTGTAGGTTTCGTGGCATTTGACTTGTAAAATACTGCCCGAAGGTACGGATTCTCCTGGTAGAAACCGGGCATTTGACTTGTAAATCGCCCATTGCCCGTTTGTGGGATGTTTAGGCAAAACACAACTAAAAAATCAAGAGAAAGTGACTTTCTGGGGGCTATTATCGCGTTTTTTACCCATTTTGTCTCCGATGTCTGTGCAAAGTGGAGTTGGTGTATTCCAGGATCGTGAAACTGGCTCCTGTGTACTTGAGTACTAGAAAAAAAACGGTAAATGGGGAGTTTTGGGGTTTATTTTACTCACCGAAAGTGAATAAACAAATCTCAAGCACAAACATCTCACTATGTTCGATCTTGACTTATTGATGACCTCGCTTGAGGATAATTTTAACGAAGAGACGCAGAAAAATTATGATAATGCGAAAGTAATCCCAAATTTCTTCGTTTGGAATTCCCATTTAACTGTGAAGTGTGAATACTAGTTTTGATTGACCTTGACATCAAAATAACATTTGTTTTTATCGTATCGTGGGGTAAAACCACTTCAAAAACTGTTAATTTTTATGAAAGTAGCATTTTGCGAGTTAAATAGACAATAGTATATTACAACCGAGAAGGGGAATTTTTCTGTAATGGATTCTCAGTGAGGCGTGTGTATACTATTTTTTCAACAATGATATTTTGTTTAATACAATTTGGTGCAACAGATTGCATTTTGACATAAATTACTTCCCGACCAAGGATTTCAGTAACATATTTCCCGACCTCTAAAAGGTGAAGAATCGGAGTGATTTTTTTACGTGTAATTTGATATTTAATTGCGTAGTTTTTATGGAAGAAGGTAAATAAAATGTAATTCAAAACAATACAGAAAAAATAATAAATTGTTTTTTATATACTTATTTCAAATAACGATTTCTAAATATTGATACTTGTGATAACAAAAAATTAAATAAAGGAGCAAAATTTTTTATTAAAAACTTTGATTTTTATAGCTATTTTGACTTGACTTCTTAGCTTGATTTTACGTTTTAAAAATAGAAAATCAAGGATTTTCTAAATTTTTGACACAAATAACAGTTATTAGTCAAAAACGAAAAATGAAAAAAATAAAAATTTTGTCGAAAATGTTTTTGAAAATAACGCTGTTTTTGCGACTTAAATACAATAGTATACTACAACCGAGGGAATTATTGCTGTAGCGAATTCTCTGCGTGAATTGTATATACTATTTTATTTTGTTTAATAAAAGTTGTTTTTCTTTCAAATTGCATTTTTGACATAAATTACTTCCTGACCAAGGGATGCAAAAATTAAATTGTATTTTTTTTACACGAAACACCTATTTTTAGTACTTAGATTTCAAATAATGATTAATATTTTACAAATTGATAAAAACTTTATGTTTTGATAACAAAAAATTAAACTAGAGAGTCATTTTTTTTATCAAAAACTTTGATTTTCATAGCCATTTTGACTTGGACCTTCTTATTTTTAAAGTCTGTAAGATAATTTTTATTTTTGACGAATGAAACTCAGGGACTTGAAATTTTTTCCTCTGTCAAATTTTATTAAAATAACAGTTTGCAGGGTAGACGATATAGTATTATTACAACTGACAGGGGAAATATTTCTGTGAAATGAATTTCTAACATAATTTGTATACAGGGTGCGCCAGAACTCGCGCCCCAGAGAAAAATTTCAAGTAAGATAAGATACCAGGAAAATGGAAAAAATGTTTAAAAAATTCAATCTGTCAAAAAATTTTGACATTTATTTTTTGACATTTGACATTTTTTATGTCGATATTTATGATACTGATGATCTTGTATATTTTTTTGTACAATTATTTAGTAAAGGTACAAAAATTTTGCCAATTAAAGCCACAAATAACATTGAACAGAGTTATAATTTAGGATACAGCTTCCTTGTTTCCTCTTTTAATAACCCGAAGCAAAAAAAAATGAAAAATTATTTTTCCAACAAACATAGAGTCAAAGTGCAAAATTTAAACTCTCATAACTTCGAATTTTTTTTAGATAAATTTTTTTCCCTTATATTGTTTTTCTCTGGGGCGCGAGTTCTGGCACACCCTGTATATTACTTTATTTACAGTTACATTTAATTGTTCAATTTTTTTAGACGTATTTCCCCATAAGGTTAAGTTCGGCTATTGCTATTGTGATTTTTGACTTGTTATTTAATGTTTTTGCAGAAGGGTAAATAAAAATAATTTAAAAAAATACACAAATATGTAAATTATTTATAACTGGGATAAATTAAAATTGTATTTTTTTAAACAAAACACCTTTTTTGTTTGCTATTTAGAATTAAAATAATGATTTGGATTTTTATGACAAAAAATGAAATTTTTTTATTAAGTGCAATTTTGACATGGACTTTCTTTTAAAAGTTCGTAAGAAAATTTTGATTTTTACTTTTTAAAAAGAAGGNCTTAAACTAAAACTTACAAAAAACTCATTTTTGCAATGAGTTATTTCACCGTTTTCAGTCAGAAACGCAATTATTTAAAACTATGTCGAAAATCATGCTTTTTTTGAGCGTTTAGCACGTATTTGAGCTAAAATCTCTTTTTTTTTCGCTAAATTTTAATAAACTGGATAAATCAGTCGTCAAATTGTGTCGAAAATGATATTATTTTTGCTTTTTGCGAGAATTTTTGTCCATTGTGCAGTCAGAACTACAATTATTTCTCGAAATTTTGTCAAAAATAAGCTCAAAAATCTTGGTCGAAAATTGTGTTTTTTTTTCGAGCGTTTTAGTACGTTTTTGAGCATATTTTTCTTTTGTTGCACGTTTTTCAGTCAGTTACCGAAAAATTAACAATTTGTGGAGTTTTTTGGTCTTTTTCGAAGCTTAGACTTTTCAAATTTAGCTAACAACTCATGCAAAATTGTAAAAACAGCTAAAATAAATTGTTTTTCTCATTTTGACGAATTTTTTTCGATTTTTTTTCAAATTAAGCTAACAAGTAAAAAAAATCCCCACGTCCGTGGACCAAAAACAAAAAAAGTAGATTTTATTCTCGCGCTATGACTTAGGATTGCGTTATAATCGTAGCAAAGAAAAAAACTCTCAAAGCTAGAATCTTCAAAATTTTTCGATGAGATAGAGCCTTTCAAAAATCACCAAAAAATTCAAGAAAAATTTCATTCTTTTAATTTTTTGGAGTAGTGTAGAAAATTACTTAAGCAGGTTCCGATTTCGGGGGACCACTCCCCGTTGTGACAAATGAGGAGATTGTTTCCCTCCAATTTGTAATTTTTTTGACAAGTCACTTGGAGCACAGTTGCTGGTGATACAAATTGCCCGGGGGAGAATTGAGTTTGCACCCCGTAGATCGACCATTGGCCCCAAACCGGGTGTTGGGGCAAAACACAACTAAAAAATTAATTATTTTTGATTTTTTTTTATTAATTACCTGGGAGTTGACGGTTTTGTGACCGGTTTTGGTGTTGTTGTCGTTGTTGTTGTTGTTGTTGTCAAATGTTCGGGTTGGCAATTGGAGTCTTCTTCGCAAATTGCAATTTCCGAAAGTGACCTTTTTTAAATTACGTTTTTTGTCACACTTTATGAAACTTACGGTCTGTATCTCGCTTCTTTTTCAAAAATCAGTTCGTTAATGTAGTAATAAACACTAGTGAAAAGAGTGTATTGTTGACTATCACAGCCCCCTTCTTCAGTGGGGGCTTGTGGGGAAAGACTCACGATTCCAACAGCGTAGTACCGACTTTTAAATTCTGTTACTAAAGCACCTCCACTGTCGCCACTACAAACAGATGTTCCTGCAACCGATTTTTTTTTTAATTTTGAACCAAAATTTTTATTTCTTTTACCAGTGTTTAAAAATCCCGCACAAATCTTATCATCAGTCATGAATTTTTGATAATCCTCCGGTAAATCGCTGTCACATTGATCGTTTGTGATTATCGGGACTTTTAACTCTCTAAGCACCTTGGAGGGGTTTTTGTACTCGACAGTGTAACCCCATCCAGACACCTAAGGCAAAGTCAAATAAAAGAAGAACACCCTGTATTTGATTATTTCTGATATTTAAAAAAATCTGGTGTGAACTTTTGGTCTTTGCGGCCGAACGGTGCGACCGATTTTTACCAATTTTTTCGTGCTACGCCCCCTTGCTACAAGTAACTTACATACCAAATTTCAAGTTTCTAGCCCTTATAGGTTAAGGAAAAAAAATAGTGATTCAATTAATACCACATATCGAATATCAGATAGTCGTTTCATTTTTTTAAAGTGAACTTTGAAGAAAAAAAAGACAGGCCATTGGTGTTTTTAACGAATTGCGTGTTAAATGTTGGCGAAACAAAAAACGTTTAATTTGTGTAAAAAGTTGCAAAAATATGCTTTGAATTGAGTTAAATAAAAAGTGGAAAAAAGAGAACTAAAAATTTATAATCAATTTGGTTTTAAGTAAGCCAGAAATTTTTTGGACCTACCCTCGCGATAAATAAGCAATAGTGTGCAGCTTGTTTAAAAACATGACTTCTTTGTTTCAATAAAATTTACATTTTGAATTTTTTTTTTGCTCTTCGTTTTATTTTTTTTTCGCTTATTATTTTAAGAAATTTTTATTTTCTGTTTATTTTGTTCGATTTAGCATATTTTTCAATGGGAATTGCTTTTATTAAAGAAAGAATTGTCTAACTTATGACAAAAACTGAAAGAAAAAGAAGAAATTTTTATTGAATGCGTAAGATAAATCCAAGAATCGACTGAATCGATGTTTTTGCTTTTACTTTTTTGACTTATTTCGTTCGATTTAGCTCACTTCTCAACAAAAGTCGGTTTTGTTGTTTATGTACTTTTTTGTCACTATTTTTTTTTTAATTATTTATAATTAAACTTGGTTTTATCAAACGGAAATGGAAATTTTTTGGCTCTAGACTTAATAAACCCATGAAAAAACGTGATTTCTTTCTTGATTTTTTGTTCCAATACTTTCACGTTTCGTTTTTTTATATTTTTCTTCTTGTAAGAAATTTACTTAAATCGATGCAAAAACATGTTCTAAATATACTTTTTTGGGTTTTTTGTTCGATTTTACATATTTTTTTAATACGAGAGAAAAAATTTTACTTATTTTTGTTCAATTAATGTAAAACATTGCAAAAATATGGTCTGAAATGAGTTATTTTGTTCGAGTTAGCTCACTTTTCAACAAGAATCGGTTTTGTTGTTTGTGAACTTTTTTTACTAAGAATTTTTTAATTATTTATAATTAATTTTGGTTTTACCAAATAGTCAGTTTTAAGCCGGAAATGGATATTTTTTGGCTCTAGACTCTCAATAAATGCATGAAAAAACGTGATTTCTTTCTTAACTTTTTGTTTTAATATGCTTTTTTAAGTTTTTTTCACTTTTTGTTTTTTTATACACCAGGTAAAGAATGGAACCAAACGTTTTTTGCTTAAACTATTTATTTTTTGAAAAAACTAATTGATGAGTGATGATTTAACAAGAATCGAAATTTTCTTTTGTATTTGAGTTCTACAAAAAAAAATATTTTTTTAAATGGCAACCCACTATAAAATCATTTTTCTCATAAAAGCTATACTCTAAGGATTACAACTATGTGCTTTATATTTAATTTTATCAAAAAAAATTTTTCACATAAATTGCAATTATGACAAAAAAAAATCGCATAACTCAAAAACAAAACAAAATTTTGTTCTGAAATTACGATCACATTTTTTATATTACTTTAATTTATATTAATTATTAATGATTAAAAATAAAACCGCTTGGTTCCATACTTTATATTCACCCTGTATTTTGATTCTTGTAAAAAATTTTATTAAATCGATGCAAAAACATGTTCTAGNACCTTGATAAAAGTAAGAGTTTCGTACGAAATTCCTCTCGTGTCGAGTGTTTTTCTATTTTTTTCTAATTCTTACTTTTCAATGGTAAAAAAGCCGTAAATTCGTTGTGTATTAATTTTATTGAAAAAGTTTACAAGAGATAATATTTTCATTTCCCTAGCGCGCGTTTATTCCATATTCAGTCACTTTTTTCAGGATAAAATCTTCAGTATGTGCTGCAACTTTCGTGTAAAGCCCATACTGGTTACTGTCGCATCCATCGGCCTCTCTTGGAGAGGTCGGCGAAAGACTCACAACTCCAGTGAGATAATACCTATCACCATTGCGTTTCACGACAAGTCCTCCGCCACTGTCGCCCCTACACACGGCAGTATCTACAAGAAAATTTCAGTTTCAACCCCCACAAGCTCATATTTCCTACTGTTGTTCAAATATCCTGCACATAATTTATCATAAGTGTAGTATCTGTCGTAGTTGTCTGGAAGCTCTTTCCGGCACTTGGACTCCGGAATCAGGGGAACTTTCAGCTCTTTCAGTTCTTCAGACGGTTTAGACCCCTCCACGGTGTACCCCCAACCAGTCACCTATTTATTTATTTTATTTTTATTTAACTTTATTTAACAGTCCTTTACATTAAGTGATGATAAAATTATAATAGACAACAAATCACACATAAAACCCTTTAGGAAGTTGGTCCGGACCCGAAAAATGTCTTTTTGTGAAAATTACTTCAATGAGCATTAAATTGTGATTATAATAAACAAGCTTGCTCAAATTATCAAATTACAAATACATAAATTTATTTAAGAAATGTATTTTGCAAGTATACAGTATGTTCCCGGATTAAGTTTACAAGAGAAAAAAAATGTTTACCTTTGATTTTACGCCAAAACTGACAAGGAAAAACGTTTTTAGCTTGACTTGACTTTTAAGGTTCTTTATCTACAGCTTTCAAAAATCAAGAATGTAGGACTAGTTTTAAATGCCAGAATTTTTTAATAAACTGTGAATTTTGCCAATTTCTATCAAGTTATTTCTTTATAATCAAAATTCTGAACTTAATAATACATTTTATAATAGCCAGAAACAATGAAACAAATTTTTACCTTTGATTTTACGTCAAAAAAGCAAAGGAAATACTTTTTTTCTATCGCAGATGTTAAACTATCTCTTTAAAAACTCTTTTGAGTAGATAAAATAACACTTTAACAGCAAGGGTTGTTTTTACTTTATCTGAAACGAACAAATCTGTAATTGAAACTTCATTATTCTGATTCAGTGGAAAGAAAAGTTAATTTTTTTCTTACTTTTGGACTTGTAAGAATAATCTTTCTTTGCTTTTCAAGTCCCATCACATTGGCGATTTTATTTTTTTGACAACGATGTCACTTTGACAATTAATTAATTAATTGAATGATTGTTTTTGTTAAAAATGACTGTTAATTTAGAAGCTGTTTTTTTGACTTGCCATTTATTAAAACCATGTTTTTTTACAAACATTTTTGATATTTAACTTGCGTTAACTCATCGTTATCAAAAAACTAAAACGCCAATGTGATGGGATTTAAAACCCAGAGAAAAAATTACACTAGTTTACACGATTTTTATACCTTAGCTGAAAGTTAATTTSTTATAGATTTTGAGGCACTGAGTTAAAAAAACAAACTATTCAGAAAAAGTCCACCACGTTACGTTTGAGAAATATTTAATTAACAAAAATACAAAAACCGCCAAAAAACAAATTAAAAGTGAGTTATTTTACTTGGTTTTATTATATTATAATCTACTAACATATTTTCATCCCAAAAACCTTCGTGTCGATCTTTGAAAACCCTTCAGATCTTGATGAAAACGCTTATCTTGTTTGTCACTCATGCTCCCTAAATTTTTAGAAAAGAAGTCCAAATGCGAGTGAAATGTTTTTAAGACCTATTTAGACCCATATGGTAATAATTTTGCAATAATTCAGCAACAATTTGAATTTAAATAAATTTTAAATCGGAGGCATTTGTGCAAAAAGCAAGAAAATTATCGTCTGTAACAAAAAAAGTGTGACGTGATAGAAAAATTTAACAATTATTTTTGTTTAATTAAAGGTAAGTTAACATAAAAATAATAATTCGATTAAAGGTATATTAAACATGGTATTTTTGTAGATTATAGTGTTATTAGTTATTACAAGTTCAAAATCAAGAGAAAAATTAAATTTTCTTTCCACTGAGTGATAATAATGAACTTTCAAAATTACAGACTTACTGGTTTCAGGTGAAGCAAAAAATATTTTTCTTTTGCAATGTTAGCGTAAAATAAAAAAATCCGGGGKCATTCTGTATAATATTAGTTGTTATTATTATTATGGCATTAAATTTACCAATTTGGGTTTTTTGCTTTGTTTAGAAGTAATAAAAATAAATATAAAAAACGGTAGAAACTCGTTCTATTTGTTTATAAAATTAAAAGTAAATCACAAAAATTTTGTTAAGGTAATGAAATACATGGGTATGCATTTTTTTCTCTAAAATTTGCTTAATGTTATTTTGCAAATTATTATAATCACCATAATCTATACTCATTGAAGAAATTTTCAGAAAAAGACCGTTGTGAAGAAACTTCCTAATAAGAGTCTTTCGACATATTAACTGCTCCCCAACTAGTTAGTCGGAAACACTATTGCATAGTGATTAGTTTTTTTCCGGGTGTACGTGTGAAACAAATAGCATTTTGATGGAATTAAAATTTCTAAACTCACGACAATAACGTTTTATGCAGCCAAGTGCCTTATTAGCTCTACAAATGATAAATTCAAGGTGTTGAATAAAAGTTAATTTACTATCAAGTAATATACCTAAATCTCTCACAGACTGTTTTACTGTAATTTTTGTACTATTAATAAAATAATTCGGTAGGGTTGGAGAGATTTTCCTGCTGAAAACAATAGACTTTTCAGCATTTAAAAACATTTTGTTATTTGCACACCAGTCTTGTAACTTATTTAAATCAGATTGTAGTACAGAAATGTCACGAGATTCCGAAACCTTTCTAAATATCTTAAGATCATCAGCAAATATACGATAATCACTATCAAAATTACATCCTATATCATTAATAAAAATAATGAAAAGAAGTGGACCCAAAACAGATCCCTGTGGTACACCTGACATGTGACCCCCAATTTTTACTTGCTGGAATCGATCAGTTAGATAACTGTGAAACCACTCTAAAAGCGAGCCACCAAATCCATAAACAGACAGTTTTTGTAATAAAATGGAATGATTGACTTTATCAAAGGCCTTACTAAAGTCTGTATATACTGAGTGTACCTCCATACCTAGACCAAAGAGTCCACAACTTCATTAACATACGAAAAAGATTAGAAATAGTTGAGCGTTTTTGAAAGAATCCGTGCTGTTCTGGAACTATAAGGCTACTTAGTTGATAAGATAATTTAGAAAGTACAATGGATTCAAATAATTTAGGACGGTAATTTTCTATTTTGGACGTGGAACCAGATTTATGAATAGGCACAATAAATGATTGCTTCCAAATGCACTACTCAACGACAGATTAAATATTATACAGGGTGTTTTTGGATTAATCGAGTTATTTTAAGGCAGATTTCATCTGCTTTCCCTATACCTAAATTTAGCCGTTTTTGATCTTTTGGATCTGCACCTTCTATTTTAAAAATCGGTAACTCTGCCATTTTTTAAGATTTTGAATTCGTTTTTTTGACGTTTGAAAGAGAAAGCTTAGATCCTTTTTCTGATGTTTTCAAATTTTGAAAAAAAATTGCATATCCCAAAATTTTAAGGTTACTTTGTGATAATTCAAATACTCATCTCAATTTTTTCAAATGAAACACCCCAATTTGTATTTTACTAAATGGAAGGGAATTTAATTGTGCATTGATCTGTATTAACATTCCCTATACCTAAATTTAATAATTTTCAAGGTATGGACTTTTTTTTAAGACTACAGAAAATTTATTACTAGCCACACCCGTTTTCACATAGTTTGCTATGGAAATCAAAAANAAATTAAAGTAATATAAAAAATGATCTTATTTTAAGAACAATATTTTGTTTTGTTTTTGAGTTATCCGATTTTTGTTGTCTAAATTGCGATATAGTATGTAAAAAAATAATTTAATATAAAGTAGATAGTTGTAATCRCTTAGATCATGACCTTCATGAAAAAAAATGTTTTTTTTGGTGGGTTGCCATTTAAAAAAATTAATATTTTTGATAAAACATCACATTTTTATAGAACTTTATAATTCATCAATTAGTTTTTTCAAAAAATAAATACTTTCAGCAAAAAACGTTTCACTTTTTATTGTTCAAAATTTTGCATGTCGATGCATATTTGGAGCATATATCTTGTGCATATTTTTGTGAAAATACGTGCATATATAGGGTGTTCCGTCTAAATTCCACATTAGAAGTATTGAGAGTTGGAATAATCATATTTATTTGAAAATTGGTACATAGCCATGAACCATTAAGTCCTCCTAAATGAAAATATTTTCAAGATGGCCGCACTTCCGGTTATACCGGAAGTCGGTCTCAACTTTCTTATTTTAAATGGAAAGGTATATTTTTTATTGCGTTTTTGGATTAATCGAGTTATTTTAAGGCAGATTTCATCTGCTTTCCCTATACCTAAATTTAGCCGTTTTTGAAATATTTGGAGTTTTTCAAAAAATTTTGGATCTGCACCTTCTACTTTAAAAATCTGTAACTCTGCCATTTTTTAAGATTTTGAATTCGTTTTTTTGACGTTTGAAAGAGAAAGATTAGATCCTCTTTCTGGTGTTTTCAAATTTTGAAAAAAAAAATAACATATTCCAAAATTTTAAGGTTACTTTTGTAATAATTCAAATACTCAAAACTCAATTTTTTCAAATGAAATACCCCAATGTTTATTTTACTAAATAGAAGAGAATTTAATTGTGCATTGATCTGTATTAACATTCCCTATACCTAAATATAATAATTTTCAAGGTATGGACTTTTTTTTAAGACTACAGAAAATTTATTACTAGCCACACCCGTTTTCACATAGTTTGCTATGGAAATCAAAAATGTCAAAATTTTCTCTAAACAAACGTCAACAGTAAATTACTATTTGACAAATAGTGCCAAAATATGAAGAATCAAAGTTATGCAAACTTAATTATTATTAATAAGTTCCACCATGCYATCATTATTTAAAGCTAACAAGTGAGAAAAATTATTTTTGTTTAATGAACGACATCATAATTTCGTTACACTCCATAAATAAATACAAAAATAAATTAATTAAATCTAAGTTTGAGTAGTTTTGACTCTCCATATTTTGGCACTAATTGTCAAATAATAAGTCACTYTCGACGTTTATTGAGAAACAATTTTGACATTTTTGATTTTTATCGCAAACTATATGAAAACGGATATGGCTAGTAATAGATTTTCACCAGTCTTAACAAAAAGTCACCATAARTTAAAAATTATTAAATTTAGGTAAAGGGAATGTTAATACAGATCGATGCAGAATTAAATTCTCTTCCATTTAGTAAAATAAAAATTGGGGTATTTCATTTAGAAAAATTGAGTTATGGTATTTGAATTATTGCAAAAGTAACCTTAAAATTTTATAGTTTGTTATTTTTTTTTCAAAATTTGAAAACACTGGAAGAAAGATCTAAACTTTCTCTTTCAAACGCCAAAAAAACGAATTCAAATTTTAAAAAATAGCAGAGTTACCGATTTTTAAAGTGGGAGGTGCAGATCCAAAATTAAAAAAAAAACTCCAAATATTTCAAAAAACGGCTAAATTTGGGTATAGGGAAAGCTGATGAAAACTCTCTTAAAATAACCCGATTAATCCAAAAACGCAGTAAAAAATATAGCTTTCCATTTAAAATAAGAAACTTGAGACCGACTTCCGGTATAAGCGGAAGTGCCGCCATCCTGAAATGGCTATGTACCAATTTTCAAACAAATATGATTATTCGAACTCCCAATACTTTTAATGTGGGGTTTAGACGGAACACCGGTATATAAGAGTAAAGCCAAAGATTTATAACAATTTTTTAAGAAATCGCTGGTATTCCTGTCAAAAAAATCATTTTTTGACCGTTTTCCCCCCACTTACTTACATAACCAAAAACTTGATCCTCTCCTGGCTTAAACTGGTGATTCCAGTCCATGCAAACAGGTTGCACTCTCAAAGAAGGAACAAAAACAGAGCTAGTGACCAGGAGGGCAATATCAGAACCGAAATTTTGGATCGGACCACCGTATTTCTCATTCACGATTATTTTTCTCACCTAAAAATCGGTTTAGTTTCTTTTTTGATGATAATGCGGGGAGTTACATCAGAAAATTGCGCTTCTTTGGAATCTCGAGGATCGTCAAATTTTCGGTAGTATTTCCCCACAGCAACGATGTAATTTTCTTTGGGGATTGGCTGCGCACGTTCTTGGGAATCAGTCACACAATGCGCAGCAGTGATGATCATGTTGAGTTTTATCAAAGATCCGCCACAAATTAAATCCTTGTTTTGGCGGGAGTACAAGGCCACTTGCCAGGGGTAAGTCCCCCGTTTTGCGGTTTTGCCGTTGACGATCAGTTTTTGGGCCTCCACCGACTTTTGACCACAAACTAGAACAAAAATTGAAAAATTTTGAGCTTGAGAGATTTTTTGATTTCAGTTTTATGATTTGTTTAGTAAAAAGTACAGCGATGCCTTAACAACAAGAAAAATGTTAATAAAAATCTATCTATTTATCACTTTGGCTCTATTTATTTCTATTGGGAAAATACTTTTTCAAGTTTTTTGCTACAGGCCATTAGAAGATCATCATAAAAAAATGTCAAATATCAAAAATTTAATTATAATTTATTTTTAAAATTTTATACTGAGCCACAATTACAATTTTTTTAACCAAAACTTTATTTTTGTTTATTCTGTTTTGTACTTGCAAGCTGAATCCTGCTTGTATTTTTTACATTTTTAACCAAAGTTTTTTATTTTAATTCAAAATTACTAGTAGTTAGTCCAAGAATGATATGAAAGAAGACTTTTTAGAATTTCAAAATGGTTTTTATGAATCAAAAAATCGCTAAATTTAGTCGAAAAGTACCGATTTTTCGCAGCGTTTCAGCACGCTTTTTTAAAATTGACTGAAAAATTACCAAATTAGGATGAAATTTGCCCAAAAATTACAAAAATAAATGTAGATTGATGTTATTTCATTTGCTTCTTTCGATTTAGCTCGTTTTGAGTGAAATTTTGTCAAAAAATAAGCCCAAATTCCAAAACTTTATTTTTGTTCATTATGTTTTCTATTATTTGTATTTTTAAGATAAATGCTTTTCGTATATTTTACTAATTTTATACGTTTTTAACCAGTTTTTATTTTAATTCAAAATTTCTAGTACTTAGTCCAAAAATGCCATGAAAGAAGACTTTTTAAAATTTCAAAATGTTTTTTATGAATCAAAAAATCGCTAAATTTAGTCGAAAAGTACATTATTTTGGATTTTTCGCGACGTTTCAGCACGCTTTTTTAAAATTGACTGAAAAATTACCATATTACCCTGTTTTGCTCGTTTTAGTTGATTTTTCAATAAAAATATGCCCAAAAATTACAGAAATTAATATAGATTAATGTCATTTCATTTGTTTCATTCGATTTCGCTCGTTTTGAGTGAAATTTTGTCAAAAAATAAGCCGAAAAACACAAAATTTTTACCAAAACTTTATTTTTATTCATTATGTTTTATATTACTTATTTTTACTTTTAAGATAAATGCTTTACGTATATTTTACTAGTTTTATAAATTTTTAACCAAAGTTTTTTCTTTTAACTTAAAATTTCTAGTACTTGGCTCAAAAATGCCATGAAAGAAAACTTTTTAAAAATATCAAAATGCTTTCTAATGAATCAAAAAATCGCTAAATTTAGTCGAAAAGTATATTATTTTGGCATTTTTCGCGGCGTTTCAGCACACTTTTTTTACCAAAACTTACTTACTTTTTCGTATATTTTACTAATTTTATACATTTTTAACCAAAGTTTTTATTTTAATTTAAAATTTCTAGTAGTTAGTCCAAAAATGCCATGAAAGAAGACGTTAAAATTTCAAAATGTTTTTTTATGAATCAAAAAAATGGCTAAGTTTAGTCGAAAAGTACATTATTTTGGCATTTTTCGCGGCGTTTCAGCACACTTTTTTTTACCAAAACTTACTTACTTTTTCGTATATTTTACTAATTTTAAACATTTTTAACCAAGTTTTCATTTTAATTTAAAATTTCTAGTAGTTAGTCCAAAAATGCCATGAAAGAAGACTTTAAAATTTCGAAATGTTTTTTTATGAATCAAAAAAATGGCTAAGTTTAGTCGAAAAGTACATTATTTTGGCATTTTTCGCGGCGTTTCAGCACGTTTTTCTAAAATTGACTGAAAAATTACCAAATTAGATTGAAATTAACCAGAGACTTTTTTGCAAGATATGAGCAAAATATGCCAAAAAATTAAAAAAATTAATGAAGATTTATGTTATTTCATTTGTTTCATTCGATTTAGCTCGTTTTGAGTGAAATTTTGTCAAGCGGAAAAACACAAAATTTTTAACAAAACTTTATTTTTGTTCATTATGTTTTGTATTATTTGTACTTTTAAGATAAATGCTTTTCGTATACGAGAATATTACCAATTTTATACATTTTTAACCAAAGTTTTTTCTTTTAACTCAAAATTTTTAGTACTTGGCCCAAAAATGCCATGAAAAAGGAATTTTAAAAAATTTCAAAATTGAATAATTTAATTGCGATTTTGTTGCACAATTCTTTGTGAAATACAAAGGTAATGAAATGCGACTCTAGAAGGAAAAGAGAAAAAAATTCTGAATTTTCACAATTTAAATAAACTATAAAAAGTGGTTAAGCTTCTACAGTCTCAAAAAATATATAAAAAAGTAAAAATTACTAAAATATGAACAAAACATTAGTGTGTTCACATGATACAAAATAAATACATTTTAGGTAATGGCTCACTTCATTGTGGCGCAGAGTATTCCACAAGGATAATTTAACAATAAATGAGGTGAAGAATAGAATCAGACATTAATATTCTAAATTAATTTTGTTTAAGCATCAAAAGTTAAAAAATGTTATTGTATTACTACTGAAAGCCCGATTTTTGCTATTTAATCCAGAAATTTAAAAAAATCGTTAGTTAATTATGTTTGTGTTTTAGTCCTTATCCTGTTGCTCCTGGATAAATCAAATTAAAATTATTAATAAAAATACATTACTAGAACGTAAATTATTAAAATCAAGCAAAACTTGTCCAAAAACGTTTGAAATAAAAGAGAAATTTAAAATAATTGCTTTGAACAGCTTAGACTTGCCATACCTTAGAACAATATCTCTATCTTTGTTTACGCAACGGCGACTCCTATATTTTCTCTCTTTTTTTAATTAATGGCGCATCTAATTTTAGGGAAAAAAATCTGGGTTTTTGTATTAAAAATAACGCGAATTTGTAGCTTATTTTTTGACTTTGCCCTTTTTTTCTACAGATTCGCGCGTTGTGTATGGAAAATCGCCATTTTAATTAAGAAATTTATTGAAAACATTTGTTACATCAAGTAGGAAAAATGACCCGATCTGGATCCTTGTCTCTATTTTCTAAATTAATTTTCAAGATTAAGTTCAAGTGAATTACTATTGGAACCTGACCTGGTACACACTCAGGTGAGCTGTTATCCCATGACCCATCTCGACAAATCCTTCCTGGAATTCTCTGCAAGTTTGGGTCTTCGTAAAGTGGTTCACATTTGAACCGTGCAAGAGTACCATCGATGGCATTGCTACAATTCCCTTCTCCTTTATTATTGGGATAAGTGCAAGTCACTGTCATCACTCTCGTACTCTCTAAAGGTGAACACAACTCTGAAAAAAAAATTAGTACCACCACCAAACATTTGACTGGATTTTTACTCAAACAAACTCCAATATTCTCAGTCCATTCCTCGTTGTTGCAATAAATAACGGAATTGCCTTCGAGTTTGTACCCTTTCCGGCAATTTACGTTCAAAATGGTCCCTGGACCCACCCATGACCCAGGGGACAAGTCCTTCGCACCGAAAACCTCCCATGTCCCAGAATCGGGGTAGTGCGGCAACAAACAACTTCCCCTTCAAAAAAATTGTTGGAATATATTATATACAGGGTGTCCCAGAGAGTTGGCAAAGTCCATTATTTACCTACCTTTAAATATTACAATTAAAAAAATATATAATTGATTAAAAAATTGATAAAAACTTAAAGAGTTAGGTGTTGAAGAAGTTTGTTAAAAGTTAAATAACTTAAAAAATTTAAATTGAATACTATTTTGTGTTTCTGTACCTAAGAGATTATTAAATTATCTTTCCAAAAACATTAATAAATAAAAAACTATAAACATTAAAAAATAATCATTATTCATTTCAGGAAAATATGAATTGAAAGGTTTTTTTTAAAAGCTGTGATCAAAAATAAAAAAACATAAGATTACAAAAAAGTGGATGAAAAAATAGAGACGAATACAATAAAAACAGCCTTTATAAAAAAAATCAAAGAATCGAAAGGATTCCAAACAGAAAGACTAAAATAGTAAAATGAAAGATAAAAAACTAAATAAGAGTATAAAATACGTAGATTAAAAAAAAAAGGACTGAAAGACTTCAAAAAAATTGTTATTTGTATTTTCAAAGATAAAAAGGAATTAGTTTAAAGATTGTAAAAAAAGTTTGCAAAGTGAAAGATTAACCTGTTTTGAGATATAAAGATGCATTAAACATGTTACAACTCAAAATTTGCAAGTTAGAACGACAAAAATAAAGATAAATATAAAGATTGAAACACATGTTAAAAAGTAGAAAAAAAGTAAATAAAAAAAAGAACTCGAAAAAATAAAGATCTCAAAATTAAAACATTTAACGATAAAGATAAAGATCTCAAAATTGAAACGTTTAACGATAAAAATAAAAATATAAAGATCCGTGTCTTGAATGCGTCTAAAAAAATGTTAA